GTACTCAGATTTTAAAAAAAGACCTAAACAGAAGAAAGGTAAAAAATAGATTCAATCAACATCCAAAACGCTTTAAATAAAAAGGATACAGTGATTAAAGTATTCAAGTCAGGCTGTGATGGGTGTACAGACAATGTGAGCCTGCAGAAGGAAGGAAGAGGCGCTTCAACGAACGTCTCTCTCCAATCAAATCTGTCAGCTTTGCATACATAGACGACCATTAGACACTGTGCACTTTGCATTTCATCAACCGTGACACTGGCCAAAAACAAACAAAAAACACTGTAAACCTTCACTTCTGCTGCATCACCACTGGCCTCATGTGTACAAGGTAATTCTACAGTACATCAATAGGATCATATCATGATAATATAAGGACAACACGTTTACACAAAGCACAATTAGGGATGTGAAGTGGTGCTGATGCTCATCATAACTTAATCCCACAATCTGCAGTTTTTCCATCATTCAAGGCTCCAGATGCACAGACCAGCTGGTGCTTCAGTTCAGCCAACCTATCAGGGAACACTGCAGCTGTACTTGCAGTGTTGCTATGGATAACATCATGTGAGGGAGCAGTCAATTAAAAATAAGTTAAATGAATGTTGTGTTGAGACTGCAGAACTGCATTTCTGGTCCACTTTAGCAGCAGTGGAAATCGTCCTTCGTACAGACACATCAGTGATGTTTAAAGCCACGAGGAGCAAGTTCCAACTTTTCTGAAGTGACCCTATCATGTGGGCATCAAGAATGGGTCCAAAAACCTGTGCTCGGCAGGAATGATCGTGAGAACAGTTTGTGTGAACATGGGAAAGTTGACAACGCAGCTCCTTTCCTGAGACAGGCACATCGAGCCAACGTTAGCAGAAACAAATGCCCCCATTATCCTCGCTGTGTCACGCACCAATTATGACATCACGTGTCACGTGACAGAATCTTTGCAGCACTTTGGCCAGCCGTGCACCTCTTGCTCTTTGTAACTTTGTGCATTGCACTGCGCCTGCTGCAGCTGGGATCGGGTCGCTCTGTACCGCCATTTGAATCATATTCCAGTACAGAAGCTGAGATGTTGGAGCAGGTAGAAAAAAAACAAGTGTGGAAAAAAACTTTGCAATAAAAAACTTGATGAAGTCTTGGCTTTTGGTTTTGAAATACAACTGACTGTGAGACAAGGCTGTGGCGGCGAGTGAAGCGACCACTGCGGCGGATGTACTGGGCCTTAATACAATCTCAAGTAAGAAGGAGAACGTTTGGTCTGGTTCCAAACACTTCTAGGCATGCTTTGGAACAACCACTGGTCATGTGGCTTGGAAACATTTTTAAGTAGTAATTATTAAATGTAAGCTAATCTAGTGAGGTTTCGAAACACAGACAAAACCAATGGTATAAGCTGTGTCCCAATTCCTAGGCTGCATCCTTCAAAGGACCCGTCCTTTACGGTCTACGTGGGCCGGGTCCTCCAAAGACTGAGAAGACTGAGAAGGCCGGAAGTGTGAGGCTGTGAAATTGGACAGTCTAGCCTTTAGTTTTGCGTCACCGCTGTGTTGGTGGAGTTTAATAAACTCCTTGCTATCTAAGATATAACAAGACACTGGAGTAAACTCTCGACTGTCTCACACTTCTGTTTGATCAGTTGTCTGCTTGACGTTTATTCAGCTGTGTGAAAACTATAACTTTAATCTCAGCCAAACCGATTTACTCAGGAACAAACAAAACACAAAGCCAAACAATAAAATTTCAAGTTATCTAAGTGACTTATATAACATGTTTAACCTGAGTAGCAAAAGACGGCGGGGTGTTTGAAAACGATGTGCCGGGAGTCCGGTGTTCTCGCCGGCTCTAGTGACCCTTGACCTCCCAGTCAGCTATCGAGCTAGTGGGTAACAGACATCTCTGAAAACGTCAGAGCGCTTTTGCAAATGTGTGGTGTCTTGATAAACCAAACTGATATTTGAAGTTTACAAGGCTGCTTTCTTGCCTGAAAATATGTTAAATGTTTATTTTGTGACCCAGAAAGAATAATAAGAGTAATATTACCGTTATTACCCAGAAAGAGTACTAAGAGTAATATTAAAACTTAGTAGCGGCTGCCATTGTTGGAAACTGGAATTGGCCGCGCTATGAATTCTGGGATAGGTTGGGGCATGAAGGACACACCCTTCAAATCCGGGGAAATGAAGGACCCATTCTCGGCTGCATTTGGACAGCCTTCGTCACGTCGCTGTGACATAATCAGCCTTCAAATGCGGCCTCCGAAGGATGCGACATAGGTTTTGGGACACAGCTATAAAGATGTACCCAGGCTGGTTTTACCAAATGGAACCTGTCGTTTTTACTATATTCACAAAGTGATGAACATGAAGGTTTCTTGAAGTGTTAAGAGTCGATGTGCTCTTTTCTAAAGCTCACAGAACAGAAGCTAAACCCGGAGTTACATCATGATAGCAGTTCTCTATACAATTCACACATTGCGAAAGAAAGGTTTTACCCTAAACAGACAGAAAAATGTGGACATGTGCTCACGGATGTTTCATTGGTCTCATATAAGATTGTTTTCTTCACTGGAAGAAGTGAATTTCAAGTTTGCTGAAAAGTGGAAATGCGACACCTGAGATTTTCCAGCCGTCACTGGTGTTTGTGGCAATGACGCCTCCTGCAGTACATCTGCACTTGTTTGGTTGACACTTCTGTCCATTGTGATGCTATGCTGTGGGTGGGCTCAAATAACGCAGCTGTCCTGATCCTCACCCTGTCCAACCGGACTGTCTTCTGGGGCCAAGTCCACCTCCAAAAAGTCGGATTGGTCACTATTCTGAGATATTTTCACCTCTTCTGCATTCTCTTGGACTCTGCTCACTCTTTGGCATGTTCTAGACTTGGCAGGGCCAACCAGAGCCAGACAGACGGCACTAAGACCTGTGCCTGCTGCACAGGAGTAGAAAGCAGCACCATAGTTGTCAGTGATGTCCACCAGCATACCTGGGGAAAAAAAGAGACAGCTGTTAAGACTTTATACCCAGAGATGTGTTAAATCAAACCGAAGAAGTAGGCGCTCATACCTCCCAGCGGTGGTCCAGCAAGTCCAGCAAAGCTCTGAATGAAAACATACACTCCCACAGATGACGGCATCTTCTCGATGCCCACGACATCTTCTTCAGCCAGCATGGGAATGTGCGTGGAGCCCACAGTGCCCATGAGGAAGCCAAAGAAGCCGGAGCAGATTGCCAAACCCCAGAACTCCCACACGATAGTGAAGGCCACCAGAACCAAGCTCATCAGAACCACACACCCCAACAACACCAAGGTCTTTCTGAATCGGACTTTGTTTAGCACCACTCCGATCAACAAGCGTCCGAAGATGTCAGCCACAGCCATCACAGACAGCATATAGGAGGCCATGGTGGACTCCACACCCCTGCTTTTGCTCAGTTCAATGATGTAGAGCTGTGGCGCAAAGAAGCCAAGAGTGGCGAATAGACCAAAAAGGGAGTAACAGATGAAGCCAGGGTCTTTAAGGACAGAGAAGTCCAGAAGTTTGGAACCTGTGGAACTTACAGGGCCCCCATCTAGCTCTGCCAGTTCCCCCTTGTCCTCACTGACTTTGTCCGGCACTTTGTCCTTCCACTTCATCAGAGCTTTGGTTTCTCCTTCTGCATTTCTCAGGTCTACATTTGAGGCAGACAGGGAGGTGACACCAGAGTCCTGTGAACCTTGGGAGATGTCCGAACTGATGGAGGTTCTGGTTTGTTCATTTTCCAGCTCGTAAACAGCCTGCATCTCTTTCACGGAGAGCGTCTCGTCATCATTTTTCTTTAAAGGTTCTTCCTCGATGACGATTGGACGAAGGAGAACCCCACAGCCAATCACAGATGCTTGAATTATACCTAGAATAACTAGACAGGAGCGCCAGCCAATATGTTCCTTGAGTGTAGTGAAAGCTGTGGGAAAATGGGAGGTACGAGGAGAAGAACAATCAGATTATAGGTCACAAGCCATTTCTGATGTAAATGCTCTTTTATCACTTACCTGGGGCAAATACAAACATAGCAACAGATTCTCCTGAAGAAGCCATCGAGGTGACGAGCGCTCGCCGTCCAGAAAAGTACTGGGCTAGGATGGTGATAGTGGGGAGGAAGCTGAGGCAGTAGCCAAGGCCTGTAAAAAAAGGAGAAGAGAAAAAAGGGACATGACAGCCACTGGTCCGCATGGTAGAACACTGCTAGGGGGGTGGGTCAAAGATTCAAGGTGTCAGGTCACTCCTTTGTCAAAGATGGTTGGCTGCTTGTGATGACTCGGGTTTGCTACAGCTGCTGCTGAAAGACAAAAGGCATGTAAAGACAAAAAAAGAGAGACGGGGGAGAGAGAGGGAGTTGCCGAGTTAGCTGTAGTCCACTTCACAGGCCGACATGGTCATTAGGGTGGGAGAGCTAGCAGTGCTTTCTGTCCAAGAAAAAAGCAAGTTAATGTGCCTTGATGACATTTCACTCCACCAACTGGGTCGTCATTCAATCTTTCACTTTGGTTAAGTCAATTTACTGCTCTGTCTTCAGCTGCTTCAGTTTTATTACACCTGATCCCAAAGTTAAATTTGTGTTTTGGGAACTACTTTACTTTCCTGTTCTGCTCTGTTCTGTCAGTCCTGGACAGCTAAGACATCAGAGTAGACCTGACTGGATGGTGTTTGGGAGAGGCCGTTCACCTCTCACTCATTGGACAGTTGTGGAAGAAATACATTGTAGCAGATTTTGTTGCTCACACTGCTAGGAGTCCCTTTAGATCAAGTCAAAGAATTCACAGGGTGTTAAATAAGACAAACACATCTGCAAAAGTAAAGCTGTAAACAGCAAACCAAGGTGACAAAAACAGACACACAGAGGTGTGGAAAAGCTTGTGTCTTTTTAGTACCTGCTACAATCCCAGTGGTAATGTACATCTCAGTGACGGAGCTGGTGAAGGCAGAGGTGATAGTTCCCAGGCTAATAAGGAAGCCTCCCGTCATGACCACAGGTCGATAGCCAAAGCGGTTGCTCAGCATTGTCGACAGAGGAGCTAAGGATGAAAATCAGAACAGCAATGTATTGCTATGTATTGTGATACGCATCATAGGCAAAGTCTAATACCAGGAGGGGGCCAAGAATTGATCCTTCCTGATATGGAGTCCATACAGGGCTGGACTGGGACAAAAAATCAGCCCGGGCATTTTGACTAATGACCCACCGTGGTATTATAGGAAAAGCCATAAAGCCTCTATAATAAACTTAAACCTCACCATCCTCCCTATTCTGGTATTCTAAACAGTACTTAGCAAAAATATAAAACAACCTAATTTATAATTACGTATACCTGTCGGGTTGCCAACTCCCAGCAAAAAAAGAAAAGAAAAAAATAGGGAACCACTCCCCACCCTCTGCCTGAAGATGCTTAACTAACAAAACAGATTTTAATTTAATGCACTTATTAAAAAAATGCACAGAAACCTATCATTTTTCGACCTCCTCAGCTGTAATTGGTCCAGCCCAGAGTCGATCATGACCAACTGGCCAATCCACCACCGTTCATTTATATCGTAAAAAAGAGAAAAAGAAATAAAACCCCATCTGCCCATAAAAACAAAAAATCAAGAGCGGCCCACCGGGCAAATGCCCGATGGCCAGTCCAGCCCTGAGTCCATATCTCCTTCATCTATAATCTGAACAACACAAGGGCCATTTTTCCGATCTATCTGGATATTATTTGTATAATAGTATTAAAGCATTCGTTAGTTCTGCAACAGACTGGCCAGGGTGTGCCCTGCCACGCTTTGTAAAGGTTTAAGAAATAGGAAGGTTAGGAAATGGGTCCTGACATTACCTCCTGGCTTTGTCTTACATTCAATTTTTCTGCAAAGTCTCTTAAAAACTTAAAGAGTGCAGGAGAAGAGACTGACCAGAGAAGGCGAAAACGAAGACACAGATGGAAATGACCCACGACACACGGCTGTTGCTCTCCCCAAACTCTTCCATCAGATCCTGGAGGAAGACACCCAGGCTCTTGATGACCCCATAGGTGCAGACCTCCACTAGGAAAAAAGCCAGAGCCACAACCCAGCCCCAACCACCATCGGGCACCTCTGGGTAAATGTTTGGACCCAGACAACTTTGGACATTGGGTATCTTCATTGTTAAACCAAGTCACCTGCAGGACGAGATGGAAAAAAACAGTTATAATTGGAGGTCAAAGGTGAATTTGCTGATTTTGGGCCATTTGGCAGCTGCAGGACTTCAGCAGAAGCAGAGATGTTTTAAATAAAAACAGCCCTTTGCTGCTGCTGAGCACCAAGTCGGGCACATTTAACAGAAATAGCACTGGTTGATAAAGAAGAACCAATACTTTGACCGTAAAGTAAATATTAAAGCACTATATGACAACTAGTCCATTTAACATACGCCCCCTCCATATACCTCAGATGGCTCAAACCACTTCCTTTGTCAGATGTACTACACAAAGAGAATAAGAGATAACAAGTTTAATTACTCACTACACACAAATCCAACCAATCTTACTGTACCCGCTTGATTTCACTGGAATAAAGAAATTTAAATATTAAACTACAATTTTGTAAAAATGCTGAATCTCTGCTTTTGCATTGTTTATGGCTAAGAAGACAAACTAAGGTGGTCACTTATTTTTAAATTGGCTCTTTACTGTAAAAGCCAGGGTAAGACTCGAGTGGGCTGAGTTTAGAGCAGCCTGTGCGATGCATGTCTTTAATGTTGACACCATTCTTTGCACACTTAAAAATCAAACCAGGAGTGTTTTCAGGCAGTATTTTGTCTGCACAAGTTGAAAGTTAAGTCCCTCATCTGCTTTGTGCAACTCTGATGCACATCTAACAAACTCACACTGAAATCACAAGTTAAAAAGTTAAAATAAACATTTTTAACTAATAAGACTGATTTTTAATGTCACAAATTTAATACACCATTTTCTTATGCAACTACAGATATTTTGGTTCACGGGTATTAAAAATATAGTTATCTCTAATTAACTGCCAATTTAACAATGTTTGGTCTGTTTAACAGTGTGAATATATTTAAGTCCCAGCATGAAAATTGCAGCTCAAGTCTACACTACTCGATGCAGAAACTATCTGCATTTATTCTTTAACCTGAAAATCTTCAAGCAAAAAACTTTGATTTAAAGTAAAGTCAACTTTTCCTTAAAAACACGAAGCTTTCCAGGTTTGAGAACAACTACACTTGTAATACCATTCTCAGTCATGAAATTAACCCTTAGATGAGCCTGAAAATCCACCTTTCCCAAAACTGATGTAAAGATATTATTTATTAATATTCTTTCGCACAGCCTGAAATATGCAAAGCTAAAATGAATTATGATTCTTTATATTTGAACCCTTTCCAGTATATCTACGTAACGCCACTGGTTTTTATGGAGAACAAAACTAAAAAGTTCTATAAACTACATTCAAACAAGTGGTTGATTATTATTTGGGCCCTCATATCAATGATCGGTAGCAACATTGATTTTCAGGCATTATTATTTTTTCTGTAACGTCAGATTTAAAAAGAAAAAAGTCACACTTGATGTCCTAAAAACAGAAATGGCAGCTTAGAAAATCATTCTGGTTCAACACTACTAAGTTCAGTACAACACTGAGGTACATATGCATCACAGATCTGTTGGAAACTCACAACAATGTAACATATTGTTTGTTTAAACAGTTTAACCTGTTACTGTGTTGGAGCAACTGTAACCCGCATCATTTCCTTAGGGATTAATAAAGTATTCTGATGATGGTAGTACTGTGGGAGCATGTGATCAGAATTTCTCTCCATCTTTGAATCATTAATAAAATGATCAGAACACCGAGAATGACAGGATGGTCCTTAAACGAGTATTAGTGTACAGATTATTAGACACACTAAATATGGACAGTGGAATAATGAAAGCTGCCGCTGCCAACTTTAAAAGTAAAATGTTACACACTCCCGCGGTGAGTATGACAAAGACACGCGGTATGCGTTAGCGCTGCCTGTGTTAGACATATCCGCAGTGCAGAGGAAGGATGATGTCAATATATCGCGTCCGTGGGCTTTCTTACCCACTAAAACAGCGCAGAAGTTATTTCTTGACTCCTGCTGCTATTAACTGTGAAATGTTTCTAAAAACGTCGCTTCATTTGAGTCTTGACGTGATTTCTGTGCGCCTTTGATAAAATAATAAATACGTCAGTAAAGTATAGTTCAGATAATAAACCTTAGAAAATGTTAACATCAGGCGCTACCGCTGTACCGCACCTCTCAGCACCCGAGGCTCGACAGCATCCTACCGCCGGACTTAACTTACCTCCAGAGCAGTGAGGGAAGACAGCCGTGCGATGGAGCAAAGTTCTCCTATCTCATGATCATTATAATGGATCTGTGCGGTTATCTGGACAGAACCTGTCTCAGACTGTAATATCTACGTATTTTAAACAATATGTGAAGAATGAAAGCGGCTTAGACACAAAGGCGTCCGGTCTCAGGGAGCTGCATCTTTTGTCTTCAGCGGATGATTTCCTGCCTGCTTTGGCAGCTCTTTACCGGCTCAAGCCGGTATTCAAACGCGGGCGCGCAGGTCTGGACTTCGTGAACGCGCAAGGTTCCTCGTGCAACATAACTGACGACACGGAACGTCGTGTAGTGCGTGCAGACCGGCGCCGCGCCCGGTACCGTGAAAAACAGCGCTGTAGACTGAGCTAATTGTTCCCAGTGGATGAGGTCCGTTGGAGGGTGCATTTGAGATCCACAGCCATAAATAAATCCCCACGACACACGAGCCCACGGTCAGTGTTTATCGGTTTAACACCCCAGATCTAGCAAGTCAGCAACAGCGCTTCACATGAAGGGCTTTCAAATGGTAGACCTGCGCGTACTCTCACATAAAGCTTCCCGCATGTGACACACGCGCTTTTTACCACACATCGCTGCAAATCCTGGCGCGCGCTACAAGCCCACGAAACGCGCGGCTGCCACAAACAGGTTTAATCTAGTTGGGAAGAGGTTTGTACCAGTCGGGCTGGAGGTCTGTGTGTGTGTGTGTGTGTGTGTGTGTGTGTGTGACAGTCGTGTTATAATGTATATGGTCAACAAACTGAGGCAAATAGAAGAAATACGAGCATCAGAGGAGCGAAAGGCTTCTTCCCACACGTGTTTGTTTCACCATTAACTCAGTCCCACGAACTTAGAACATTTATAGATAACTATAAAAAACCTGTTCGACTCTTAATCAGTAGAAGGGACGCAGCTTTCTAGTTCAGCAGATATTTGATAAATAGTCCTTATTTAGTTAGTAATGAATAATTGTTGCGCCTCTGACTTACCCACAAACTGCGTGGTTGGTACTGGTGGAAGCATAAAATCATTTGGTTTTTTCCACTACTTAAGTAAAACTTGAATAATGAAAAAGTAAAACTGCTGTGAAAAAACTGCCAACCAGTTCCAGGATACACTAGATATTTTAGTTATGATTTAACCACTCACATTTCAGAATGGTTGATGAGTATCAGCATTATTTTTGCCGGTTTTTTGTTATAAATAATGAACAACTCACCTTTCTTTTAGCTGTGACAAATCCTTTGACTTATTTGAAAGAGGTGCCCTGACCTGAAATACTTTTATGTGTGATACAGAGGTGTGGAAAGACAAGGCCCAGCCCTAAAATCTGATAGGACACCCCAGACAAAGCCAACCGTCCTCCAAGCAAAATAGATTCCCACAGAAGGATTTGAAGGAAACGTGTTGTCACCCAAAACTCTGTTACCACAAAGAGGACATTTGGAAAGATGCAGAGAATATTTGTCTTCACTGATAATGTATGTTACAGTGATAATGTTACAAATAATCATCTTTACTGGGGAAAAACTGGGAAAAAAATTAAAAAATGGGGAAATGACAGCTAACGAAACCAACAACATGCACTCACAAAGCTAAATAGAACAAATATCATTAGGAAATGTTTTTGTCTATGTCAGTTTGGTTGAATTTGTCAGAATAGCCTACCTGATGAGGCCTTGGTTGAGTATCTAGATGTCTACATGAGCAGGAGTTAACTGCCTTTTGTTTTACCTCATATTGTTGCGTTGTCCTTATTAAACATTTATCGAGGGCAACTACCGCTCACCATCAACAAAGCACCAAACAGAATGTTGGTGGCTTGATTGATCATCGATTTTCAGTAAATTCAGTTCTATTCTGCAACACAGTTGCTTAAAGGTGCTTTATACTGTAAGGTAAAGCCCTCACAATAATACAGAAATGTCCTAGGACAATATACAGAAACCCAAAAGGCACCTACTGTAGTGTGAATGTGACAGAAAGTACTCAAAGCCACAGTGTATTTAGTCTGTTTTTCTCCAAAACCCCATCGTTGCCTTATTTCCTCTCTTGATTTTCACATCTCTTACTGGCTCCTGAGTTTCTTTGTCCCTCCACTGTAAAATGCGTCCCTCATAAATACCCCGCCACAATAAAAGGATCTTCATGGAAGCAGTTCATTGCAAGATGACAATGTTCCACACATGAAGCACAAGCACTCAATGGATATTTTGATCAGGAGCCATGTGAATGAAATGATATGGACTTCAGTCACTTACAGGTTAGACAACTACTCTCATTAAAACAGCAAAAATGGGGATATCTTTTAGGAGAATGGTGGTCAAACTCAAGACCTGGGAAACTGATGCCAGGACACACTGAAGCTGCTCTTATGGCATTTTTCCCCCACACTCCTTACACTGAGCATTGATTTTACGGTCTATCACCTGTGGTGTGCAATGTTGTCACTACTGTAATTCTAATGTCACGCTGGAATTACTTTTCATGTCTATGCAGCAGTCCTGTGTGTGGCGTTCACTGTAGGGCTGTTAAAACGTCTAATTAGCTTAATAAACCAGTCAAATGTTAAATATCCTTCCAGGTATACAGGACTAGCTCTGCCTCCTTTGGTATTTTTCTACATTCATGTCTTTTTCTTTCTTCCACGTGAACTGTCAAGACTGAACAGGGAATAATCTTTAATTCCAAACTGAAGATCATCTATACTGAAAACAGCTGAAAGCTCTTAGTGCCCTCTGTATTTGTGACTTTATATTCAAACAGGATTGTGCTGGTGTGCGTTTCACTTCCAAACGGGGCAATCACGTAACATAAGCCTGAAGTCCAACGTGATTATGTTTCTGATTAGAGAAGTTGCATAACTGTTCATGCGTCACTGATGTCAGTGATTAGAGATCATTTATATTAGTATATTTCAAAGTGTGACTTTGTGTCACGGCGAGTGAGATGAGCCGTGTGGAAAATAAAGGAGGATCCAAATGCAGGCACTTGTAAAGGTGTGATGGTGGTTTATTAAACACAAAATAAAAATGGACAAAAGGCGAACCGAACAAAGACTAAACTATACTGGGAACAAACTGAGTACAGAACACGAACGAGAGCGAGCAGAAACAGATTGACAGCAGGGAACACACGGATGAAACATGGTGGGAACGCAGACGGACCAGCAACTACGATGACAGAGGACACGACTTAAATACACACAGAGAAACATGGGAATTACACACAGGTGGTGGACACAGCTGGGAATAATCAACAAGACGAGACAGAGGGAAAACTGAACACACTCACATGAGACGCAAACCTTCACAATAAAACAGTAAACGAGAACACTACACCGAGACGCAGACCTGAGAGACAGACAGACAGAATGACACATGGAACCTGAACTAAACTAAATGTGAGATACAACCGAGAACAAATCCTAAACATGAATAAACAGAAACATAGAATTCTAATAATAATAAACCTCATAGTGCCCAAAACCACGACAATTATCCAAAAATAAACTAACAATCCAAAACTCAAAATACTGGGTCGAAACTGACCCAAAACCGTGACACTTTGAGTATTTTCTAATATTTTTTTTTTAAGATTCAGGTCAACTTGATTCATCCTGAGAAAATGTAATTTGGGTTGTACAGTTTCTACACACTGGGTCTAAAATATCAGCTAAAACCAAAATGAAACAGCTTATAAAGAAGGTACTGGACTTTAAGTTCATGTCAACAAGCTTGAAGAAGTCCAGTCGCCTGGACATTACTTGGACTTGCCCACTGGTAACGGGTAGTTCGAATGGTTATCCTAAAGCTAGAGTTGCTTAAGGTGGAATAACTTCAAGACTGTACTGAGACAAATATGCAGACTTGCTGTAGAACAATCCACACGGATGGACTGGTAATCATCCGGCAGAGCTGGCGAGGGCTGATGGGGCAATACAACTCTTTTTTTTTCAATATAATTACACGGGCTGTGGACCAGGTTGACTGGAAGCTGCAGCACTGGCAGCAGTCCTTATTTTCATTACAGTTTACTGTTGAAGAAGTGGTTGATAAAGATGGATAAACAATGAAAAGCTGACTAGAAGCTAGAAAGACATGCAGCAAAATGTGTCAAATTAACCAACACATTAGCTGTCGGCTGCTGCACCAAGTAGTAAAATTAGGAGCATTATTCCTTCTAAAGCATCTTTTTTAAAGAGAAAATAAAGTGATTATCTGATTAACTATTTTACTTCCTGTTTTTTGAACTGGACCATCTGCACTGTGTTGACTGATCACAGTGTGCTGTACAAAAAATGGAGAGGCTGATTTATTTTTTTGTCCCAGTCCAGACCTTTGCGTACAGAAACGTGAACAGGACAGTACACCTCTAATGTTATCAGGACATGATAAAAAAAAAATGCAGATATTAAAATTCAGACAAAATTAGAACATGGATAACCGAACTCACAAGTGCTAAGAAACAACACTATACTCTAAGGATGAAACACTATAGAACTGGAATCACTTCATAAACCCAAAATAAATCATGAACCCACAAAACTCAGAGCACTGGGTAATCAATACAGAAACTATAACAGTGTCACGGCCTGGAGGTTCAGCTGGTCGCTGATCAGCTGTTTCTCTCGCCAGGGCGGAACTCATTACGGGTTCGCGCCCTCAGAGGAGGAAACACCTGTGCCTCATCAGTGTGGATGGCATTTCAGCCAGGAAGCAACGGCTGTTCTTCGCTGGATCATTGTGAGAAGTCGAGCGTCCAGCAAGTGTTTTTCCATGTAGTTGTGTGTTTGGAATCTATGAGCGTTTCTTGGTGTACAGACCTTCTGAACTGTTTTCCCCGGTGTTCCCTGAGTGACGAGTGTTCGAGTGGATTCGTGTTTGGATTGTTTGGAGAGAGACGAGAGTGTTCACCTGGATTTCCCTGCCCTGCCCCTCTCACCTTTGTATATACACTTTTTGGACATTGTACGTTAATAAATTCTCTTGTCAATCAATCCAGCGCAGTCCAGCGCGTGAGTCCACCTTGTACACCGTGACAAACATGCTGCTATATGCTAAATAAATAAGCACAAATGTGTGTTAGGTTTTGTTTTGCATGGATCTCCAAAAGGTAAACTGTCATGGATCACTGCATAGTTCATTTATCCCTGCAGTGTGGCAAAGAACTTGTGGCACTGTGGGAGTGTTATTGATATTGATTACAGCCTTTGGCATTTGTGCTTCCCATCTTCCTCTTCACAATACCTCATAGGTCTTTGATGGGATTGAGGCCAGGTGAGTTTTGGCACCATGGGCAGGTGCTAATCCTGCTGGCATCTCCATAAATCCTGTCAGCAGATGGAAGTGCTGACCAATCACTACCAACACAAGCAAATGACATAGGACTCCAAATCATCAGAAACGTCTCACTGGACTTCAAAGATCTTGGATTCCACTCTTTGTGCAGACTCTAAGGCCTTGATTTAAAAATGCACAGTAGCACAAAGTCTTGCTTATCTGTTTTTTCTGTTTCCTTTCATGTTCAGCTCTCTTCAAAACCCTGAG